CATGTGGGCAAACAATACAGGTAAGTATATAACACGCACTGTTCATGTGGGCAGGCAATACAGGAAGTATATAAACACGCACTATACATGTGGGCAAACAATACAGGAAGTATATAAACACGCACTGTTCATGTGGGCAGGCAATACAGGAAGTATATAAACACGCACTATACATGTGGGCAAACAATACAGGAAGTATATAAACACGCACTATACAAGTGGGCAAACAATACAGAAAGTATATAAACACGCACTGCACATGTGTGCAAACAAGACATAGAGCCAGATTAAATGTGACGAACAATCGTCTAGGAGTATATCTCATTTGTGTTCTGCTTCTGAATGTATGTGCTACTGAAAACATTGAACTTCTTTTGACATTCTCACCTATTGATTAAGCGTGAGCTTGCAGCAGTCCAACGGCACGTGTGTAGCTCAGCCCAACCAAACGTGTGTAACTATGAGGTGATTGGGCACACCTCCAACTACTGACGTAGAGGGTTTAGGGTTTCATCAAGGCTTCATGCTTATTGGGAGACATTATAGTATGTCCTTCATCTGTCGCCTTCACAGGTCATAGGCAATGGGGTTGTGAGAGGTTATGTGCTTTCAACCGTTCCCATAGTTTAGTCATCGATGCGAGCCTCATAGGTGGACTGTCGATGAGGTCCTCACACGTGCATTTGCGCATATGATTATGAGTCATGGGCTTGTATGAGTGCTACTAAACACAAACATATAAATAACAGTAGACAACCACCACATGAATCGATTGTAGGTTTTAGGTCCTGTTGACGTGATGTAGGCTGCAGCTGAGGAGAAAAATAATAAAACTTCAGAACTGCAGGCATGTCAACTGGCGTGAGCGGTGGGGGGGGATAATATCTGATGCCCCACACGGTTTTATTGAGAGTTGTCGGGTATGCACGTTATTGCAAACTGATCGAGAGAAGGATACGTTGCACACACACTACGCGCTAGATAGTGTAGGTTGTTATAACCTTGCAAAAGGGCGAAGGTGCAGGAAGAGATGATCACACATACATTTTAATGTCCTTTAAGGATGAACACGTATCTCCCATAATGGAAATAGTTACAAGTTTATAACTTGCAGCCTATTAAAGCTATCTTGAAAAGGTACCAATCATTTATTGATGTTTACTGTCGATCTATCATGACAGTTGAGCTTTTAAGGCTAAAAACCCTAAAATCCTATAATATCATGGCAACTTTCTTATCTACGCTCGTATTAATTTTGTACTTTCTAATATATATGTGTTTTATTTTAGAAGGCTATGATATGCTCATATTTATTCGTGACGAGTGTCTTCACTATAGACAATGCAAAACAAGAGGCACAGTGGACTACACTCCAGGCAAAATATTAAAGTATTAGTCGTTGGGCCGGTGACAGTCGTATTGAACCAACAAATGGGACTATCTGTGTAGTGCAATTTCGCATGCACTCTCACAATGCCCGCTACAAACATCTCCTGAAGCCCCTTCACCTGGGCCAGCCACAAACATCTCCTGAAGACCCTTCACCTGGGCCAGCCACAAATATTTTCTGAAGCCCCTTCACATGGGCATCCACTGCCTTCTGATAAATCTGCGACGTCACTGCTTACAGGGAGCATGACAGACTCGACTGTCCTTGTCCTGTGTGTATTTAGATGCTACCTATTGCGGCGCCACTGTGTTGACTGTCTGAAGCTACAACAACTCTTCCTGTCCGGAAGGCCTCGTGCTTGCTACCCGTGTGTGGCCTTCTCCTCGACCTATGGTCGTAGTCAGCTGGTTGTACGATGAATCTTCCTCTTGAGTCCTGATTTCATTCACAAAGATGCGCCGTTCAGAAGACACACCTGGTAGTTACTCGCGTATCACCCGATTCATGGGCCGTCGAGAAGTCCTCTGATAATTCACCTGAGAAACAGTCGGGGCATTCGGTTTGCACCGGGTCGACGAGGTGCTTCATCTCAACCGGCGGCATATTATCAATAGTTGTGAAAGTTTTAATGCAATGTAATATTTATTCATTTTGATTAGTCTATGCAACAACCCCTGCTACAAACAGGTGAGTATATTTTAAAAGGTGTGGGTGCCAGATTTATTAAGTTGGTGCTTCTGGGGAGAGATTACTTATCATTATATATATATGAAAGGCGCAACCAATGATATTTAGTGAAGGGAAATGTATATGTAATGCTGTTTTACAAGTGTACTTGTAATAGTTTAAATCCGTGTCGTACCGGCTTACTTATTTGTTATTTGCCTTCATGAATGGTCCAGGTCTTGCAGCGGCTAAAGAATATTTGTGATTATTCTAACTGCAATACTTCACTACGATAGCGGGCCCCAGGCAGTATAGATCAACGGCAATCGTTCAGCTATACTTCAGTTCGGTCTCCACGTATGAAATATAATTTCCTAGACCTACTTCCTTGCATTTCCCAGTTGAGTGTAAATGTAGATGGGATTCTTAAATCACATAATACAACATATGATATGATGTGTACTATTTGTTTATGTGTGTATATTGACCTTGATGGTATTTACAATATATATAGTTCTAAAAGGGATACATCGTTGTCATGGCAACATATATTTCCTCGTTTTATTACGAAAGTATTTGACTTGGAAGTTGGTATCAGGCTAAGAAAAATAAATCCCTATATGTACAGGCCAAAAAAAAAAGCTACTATTTTTGTGGAAAAAAATAATTATGTATGACTTCACCTGCATCATGACGGTATGACCTCTCTCTGACTCGCTAAATATATAGAGTGAAGTTAATATGTGCGATCATTAATATATGTACAGACCTCCTGGCTGCACTATTATTTATAAATTCAGCTTACATACATAACCAACATATTTACAAGCCAGAGCATGAAGAACATTCACCGGTTCACCGACCGCCTGGAACAATCGAAATAGCGTCTTTCTTATCATCAATCCCGCATGTAACTATACGGAACACTAATACTTGAGACATAAAACAATCACACAATATGCCGGGGATGAAGCACGCCATAATGTTTCTGACTATATTGGTATGTATGCAACACGGAGACATCAATCGTCTCAGACAAATCTCAACTCTCAACTTTCCTTCCCGCGAGCGCGGAAAAGTCAAAATACAAATATATAATATGCTTTACGAATATAAAAAGCATCATCTGCGCACCTTGGTGTCATATCTTTGTAGTGGATCATTACAACTTGTAAATATACTTAGCCAGAGAATAGTCTGTACCTGGCGACACGAATAAGGTAAGCTGGTGGCCATCACACCCATAATATTCCTGTCACATAAACGAAAACATGCATTGAAGTATTGATACACATTCCTTTATACATTGAGTCATATCTTATCGAAAAAAGAAATTTATATTAAAAATATATATATATATATATATATATATATATTCACACACACCACACACACACATATAATAT